TGTATTTGATCTAAGAGAGAAGTGATTTAAGTAAGGTAGATTAACGAGACCTTTCTCTTATGTTCATTCCTAAAACGTTCATAGCCATAGGATTGCCAATTGGGCATTAACAATCCTCTAAGGTTAGTATGTGTTATGTCAACTCAAGCGTGAGTATGACTAGTCTCAAGTCATTTAGTGTTGGACACTAAGACAAACACATAGGTGCTTGAAAGAGTAATCGAGTACACTGAACAACGATCAAAAGAGAGTTCGAACATACATGTCATGTAAGAACTTGTTAGTTGCAATATGCAAAGTAGTCATTTGACCTGAGGCATCATAGATGTCTAATGGTTAAGTCTTTGATCTTTGATCATGTCAAAGGCATTCCATCGAGAGTGTCCACAGCAATGTTGGGGTCAAGCTATTTAGTCATGTAGGCATATGAATGCACAACAAGGGATCTCTAACCTTCCATGGTAGAAGGAGAATACTCTAAGATATGATTCGGGAGTCTTTGGCCAAAGCATACGAATATGACTTAGGAAGTATGTTCTAAATCATATTCAATTGAATCATATAAAGAAGTATCACATTGGATAGTAGACTTGAAGCAAACTATCATTCAAACAATGTGATTAAGACTATTGTATTAGAGAATGATCGTATTGCATTGTAATTGTAACTGGATAGGTTCTCCAACCACTTCTACTTAGCTTGGGTAGCCATGACATACTGTTAGGTGTCACTTATGGTTTGTGGAAGCCCTGAAGATTAGCAAACACTAATCTTCAACAAAGGGAGAATTGAAATGTTGTTTCAATTCACAATCGATCGTTAAGAGTAACAATCGCCCACTACCTCGCTAATTAGAACCTAATGGATCGTACACCGATTAAGGGTGAAAGTGAAGAAATATAAATGAGATGGATAAGTGATTAAATGGTTTAATTGAGAATTGTCAAGATTAATTAATTAGTTAATTAATTTTACAAAAGGTTCGTATTTGGCTTTTAAGTTGGTTTTGGGTTTCGGGGCCCAAAAGTGTTTTGGTCCACAAGGCCCATTATGTTTAAGTTGTATGACAACTAAAACAAAATGGGCAATTAGCCCAATAACAAAGACAAGGCCGGCCATAAGGGTGAGTGGATGCAAACTTGAATTAATTACAAGTTTGCCACTCAAATGTGATGTAGTATAAAGTCAACTTTATAGCTATTTCTCATTAGGGTTTTCTTGAGACAAAGAAGAGAAACATTTTCTTTCTTTTTCTCTACAAGGAGGCAGGCCACATAGAGAAGATATAGCTAGCAATCTTTTCTTCTCTAAGTCATCCATTTCATCTTCACACCTCATCCTTGGTGTGGAGACTTAGAGACACCAAATCTTTGGTGTTTTGGAGATCTTTTCCTCACATCCTTAAGGAGCAAAGGAGTATCCAAAGGAAGAAAATCACAAGGAAGATCCAAGGAGCTATGAGGTGACTTGAAGGCCCTCCACTTGGGTGAATCCCTTGTGTAAACAAGGATGAGCTTCAAGGGTAATGAATCTCTAAAACCTTCTTTCTCTTTAATGTTGTTTAAGAGTCTTGTGGTTCACCATTCACTAGGCTTTGAAAGTCATGGGTTTTAGAATTGTTTTTGAATGAATGCCTACTTTAATGTGTTAATAGTTTGCATATGTGTTCAAATATTCTCACATGTTCTTAGCTAGGACAAAATTTTTCCTTCAAGGTTCACCACCCTACTTTTCCCTTAAGGTCCAAAAAACTGGATAATGCCAGAGAGTTTATATCAACGGTTTTCGATAAAGTATTGCATGTATTTTAGGTTTATAATTGAACATTGAATTCTCATGTTCACTTCAAATAGCTTCGCCTAGCGATCATAAAGCGCAATTTAAAAAATCGCCTGGATTTTGGTAAATGTACCAAGTTTTCAGTTTCTGCCTATGGCTATGCAATCTTGTACATAGCTATGTTGGTCCGCCTTAAGGCCCATTGCCACCTAACCTATATGACGTTACAGTTGGTTACTGGGTACGAACCTGATGATTTTCGTATTTACGCATTTGGGTGTGCATTCCATGTGCCAAATTGCATTGCCGTAATGTACTAATATGGGTCCTCAAAAAATGATGTGTATCTTTTGTCGTTCATGATTCTCCTTCACACTAACTCTCTTCGAGTCCTTGTATGCAATCTCTTTACTGCTCATTTACGGGTTGTCACTTTAATGAGACAGTCTTTTAGTTGTTAGGGGGAGATAAGAACGTCAAAGTTCCTGTAGAACGACACGAATTTGTGTGGATATTGCCCACTATGTCTCATTTCGATCCCCGTACTGCACAAGTGTGATAAGCAAGTGCGATGAATTCTAGATTTCAGAATGTTGCTCCATACGCATTTCTCTAATTTAGCTAAAGCGACGAGATCATATACCAGTTGCAAACATGCCTGCAAGGATAGACGTACTTAACGGACGTCAAGTTAACATCCCTAGATGGTGTGCCACCCCTATTGGACAGTTTGGACGCCCCTATTAGACAGTCCGGTATACCAGCGGATAACCAATCAATTTGTCTTGGCCTAGAGCACGACAGATCATTCGATTCATATAATTCACTTCCCTAGAAGAGGAAGACACGGCACAACAATGAATCCATACTCGATCACTATCTCAAATCATTTCCATCTCATGAGATTAATCCGGATTACTCCCGAGACTTGAAGTTCTTGGTCCAGTATACTAGTTTGGATGAGCTAAACGGAATTAAAATGAGATTACCATCGATGGTGTTTTCACTTATATGGTAGCTACGAACATAAATGAAAAACGACGATATCGAACCGTGTTCCGTTGATTAAGTGACAATGTATAACTGATTGGACAACTAAAGTTACAATTCAGGTCAAAATCCTTACCAAAGTGTGTATTGGACATGTCGTTCCTACACTGCCCAAGGTAACCCCATTGTGTTACAAGTGGGAAAGGAAACGTTATGAGATGAATGAAATAGTGCGATATGATGCACACCTTACGGCGCAAGGTTTTTTCAAACGTTTTGTGATTGATAGCAGCATGATGAAATGTGGTTAGTCTTTTCTCCATGAAGATATAGATACGGAGATTGACATGTAAGTTCCCAAAGAATTACATTGACTGGTTCAAATAGTTTCAAACCATGGAACACCCTCTTAACTTGTTTTGAGACATTCACTACAATCTGACGGAAGTGGTATACCCGTTTAAGTGATTATTTGATCAGTTAGGGATGAATTATGCCCTTGCGTGTTAAACTATAAAGTCTTATTCTAAATTACTAAAGTTACAGTTTATGTCGTTGACATGAATCTCACTAAGATTCCGGAAGAGCTTGAGAAAACTGCCTCGCACCTGAAGATGGAATTTAAGATGAAGGATTTTGGGAAAACTTGTTTATGCCTTAACCCGAAGTTGAAACATTGTTCTGACGGTATTTTGGTCTACCAGTCAAACTCCACCCTGAATGTGTCACATTTGAGTATACCTTTGATCGTCCATACATTATATGCAAATGAGACACTCGAAGAGGTTATGGAATTCGAAATTCCATATCTAAGTTCAACTTTGCGCTTCATTGTACTTAGTTCGTTGTATTTAGACAGGACATCTCATTTGCTGTTGATCTTGGTAAAAATGCAGCACCGTGACTACATGCATCCACTGAATTGGTATTAAAGACCTACTCTGAAGGTACTACGGGGGAAAATCCCAACACATCTCAGCGGATCCAACCCCCTGATCCTCGAAATTATGTTTGCGTTGTTTGTTATGCTGACGCATGTTACTTATCAAACCTGCACAAGGCAAAATCCCCAAATGGTTATGTCTTTACTGTTAAGGATATCGCAATATCTTGGAGGTCCACGATATGACCTTAGTTGCGAAAATCTTCTAATCGTTCCAAGACTCACCTTACTTCACTACACCACAAGTGAGACATGGTTAGGAGTTCTTGTTAAGCATATTCGAAATACTTGCTGTGTTTTCATCCATCGTTGAGTCCCGATGACGATCCTTTAAGACTATGCTGCATATATCAACCCGACCAAGCCATCATATATCAACGAAGTCAATGCAAAGACATATTGCATCTACATCTACATCAGCAAAGCATGAGGAGATTGAAGTCATGCAAGACGATCCCAGACAACCTTGCCGACCTCTGCACAACATCAATGCCGAAGTCAACCTTTTAGAAGCTTGTCCGAGGAATTGGTATGCCTAACTATTCATATGCAATGCTTGTAGTTTTTATTTGGAAGTTATGTCAAACTTAGGGAGAGTATCTAGAATAATACTCAATTGATCTTAATGCAGTATTTTCCCTTACGATTAGGAGCATTTTTCCCACTGGGGTTTTGCTACCTAACTAAGTTTTAACGAGGCACCCACCCATCCTAGGCTGATCATACCCTTGTGAGCTCTTTTACTTGCGTCCAAAAGGCATATAGTTTTGACTTAATGCAACTTCTCACTTTTCTCCTTAGACTATGAGTTTTTCTCCCACCTTGGGTTTTACCACAGTAAGATTTTGTGAGTTTTATTTTTTTATACATTCTTCCGTTGATTTGAGACTCGCATTTGCTCATTGTGCTGACGACTTCATCAATTCTACTTGCTTCATCATTGAAGACCTGATGCGCCATTTACTTGAGTATTTACACATTCACGGGGGAGTGTTGCAGTCCTATTAGATTAGGAATGTGATTGTGTAAATCCTAGTATATCTTGGAATGTATCTTATATTCCTATTAGGAGTATATTACCTATTAAATGTTGTAATCCTAAGGGTAAGGAATTAATCTCCATTACTACTATAAATAAAGACACAATAGGCATACCCCCACAATTACGTCTCTCTTCTTCTCTCTACTGTTGTCGTACATTTCTCTCTCTATAACCTCAATAATTGTTCAATAAATTATGCTTACAACAAAAATGGTAAATGTTCCTTTTTTTTTCTTTTTCTTTTTTTTGGGTCGAAACACCGCATCTGCTCGTTTTCAGCATCTAATAAAAAGCGGCGTTTTCAACGTCTCATGAACATCGCCACTCTGCTCGTTTCCTCCGCCGTTTACAATCCAAACCCACATTCAGAATCGCCCTTTCCGTCCCAAAATGGCAGAAAACACAGAGATTGTAATCAAAGAAGACGGCCCAAAAGGACCCAAAAACTTGTTCTCACTCTTCCCCAAGTTCAAGCTTCAATTCCCCTTCCTGAAGCAGGAACCGGAAGGCGTCGTTGTTGCAGATGAGCCAAGGAAAGCAGACGAAGGAACTGAAAGCAACATTCAGAAGCCGGTGGTTGTGAGTTTCCCGAAAGCGCAAGTTGCGGCTCCACCTCCCGTGGCGGTGGAGTACGAAGAGCCCATAACGAAGACTTCCAATCCTATTATATTCTGGCAGGCATGCCTTTTTTTACTCTAGTTTATTTTATCTTCTTGATTTTTTACATGATTTTTTGTTATTTATTTTTATTTGAAATTTGGGTTTTGAGTTATGATTGTATTCTTGATTTTTTACATGATTTTTTGTTATTTAGTTGTATTTGAAATTTGGGTTTTCAGTTATGATTGTATTCTTGATTTTTTAAATGATTTTTTGTTATTTAGTTGTATTTGAAATTTGGGTTTTGAGTTATGATTGTATTCTTGATTTTTTACATGATTTTTTGTTATTTAGTTGTATTTGAAATTTGGGTTTTGAGTTATGATTGTATTTGTATGTGGGTTGGTTTCTTGCATCCTCTTATCTGAACATGAATTTTTTGTTGATCAAATTTGAATTTTTGAAGAAAATAATTTATAGGGTCCAAAAAATGACATATCATGTTGTGTGAATCAGTAAAAAAAATTGGATAATCATGATTCATGCTGTATGTTTGAATTTTTGAGTGCCACAAACCTATATTGAATAGGAAGAGGCCGAGTATAAGAGTAAAACTACACAAAAGGGGTTTGCGTTGCTGCACCGAGAAAGGGGTAAAGGGAATCGTATAAAAGTATTTTAGTTCTTTTTCGTAGCCATCCCTACATTTCGGTTGTTTGTTCTTACTGTTTGTTTCAAAACACAAATTTTTAGTAATTATTAACTTGATGATGGTCTGGTTAGTTCTGGTGACTGCAATTAGTTGCTTAGCTCAGTGAATGTATGGCATTTTGAAGGAGGGGAACTATGGCAAGGCGAAGAGATCATTTTACAGTGGATTGATTCGAGCTTGTGGTCTTTATCTTGCGAGAGTCCCAAAAGGATTTCAAAAGATTAACATGGATTTTCTTTTGAAGTTTGGTGATGACATGGCCATCTCCACGTGAACAATGATCATTTTAGAATAGTGGTCATAGTGTCTCAAGCTGATTCCTTTGGTATAGTTGAAAAAGATAAGTAGGGAAAGTTGTCATGGAGATTTAGGTGGGCTGCTGAATATGACGGATTAATTCAGGAGATATGACATTACACAGATATAAGTTGTCCAAGTCTGTGGCATTGCTAATCGGTGAGGTAACAATATCAGTCAAAAACTCTGTGGTACTGGATGGAGATATGTTAGCAAGATGATTTGTGTTGATTGTTGAACTAGAATGTTCAACCTAGCATTCCAGTGTCTTGTCGAATGTAATTAAATTAGTTCCTGGCCAGATATTTTTCTCATGAGGAACGAAGGGACTTGGAACATTAGTTTGTTAAAGATTTGATAATTGTGAGCATCCTCTGAATCTTTACATCTAAAATCTTCCACTAGTTATACTACTGTATCATATAGAAGCTGTAAGTGCTAGTTTGGGGTTGCTGTGCTTATAAAAAATCCACTTCAAAATTTTGGACTAATGGGTTAAGTTACGATGGGTAGTTCATTGTTTTGATCAAGAAAAGCATTCATATTTTGTTTTACAAGGAAATCGCAATTGTATGGTTCAGGATTCTCTCTCTCTCTCTCTCTCTCTCTATATATATATATATATATGTGTGTGTGTCTGTGTGTGTGTATTAATATATTTGTAATATATTATATATGTCATGAGCATACAATTTACATGATCGTCAGACTTGCTTATGGTGCATGGGTACTCTAAGGCAGTGTTGATTTTGTATGTTTAAACATATGACTCCAATCTTGATAGCATGCGAATCTCTGTCTTGAGATGATGTAACAAAAATTATCCTGGTTGGCACACTAGTTGCAAATTTTGTAGTTTTCTCTACAAATTTGTAGTTTAGTTCAGATTTTTAATAATATGATTCTCAATAGTTAATTCATTGGGTACGAAGTTGTTGGCTTTCTGTTCATTACTTCTCATGGACTAGCCACACCTAGTTTTCTTAATGATTTTGCTTTGTCTACTCTCAGCTTTCCGCTCTTGGAGGGTATCTGGTTTTGAGGTGGATTTGGGCAAGATGGCAGGAAAGAAGGGATAAAAAGGACGGGTCTTCGGATGACGAACGATCTTCTGCTGATGAATAGGTTATTAATATGTTTACAACCCTTGAAATATTGCACATCGAAACTGCAAGTTACTATCTGGATTCCTTCCTACTGTAACAAAATCAGTACATGGAAACTTGAGTGTGCTTAGTAAAGAAAGTGTTTTCCCTTTCACTTTCCAGTCTTGACTTTGTTACTGCTTATATGATTCACGACAAGTTAGTAGATCCGTTCATCGTTTTCCGGGATGCGGAAGAGATGATGAGCCGATAGAATGTATACAAGACTCCCTATCCTACTTAAAGCACAAGAATGCCAAAATTATAAAAACATTTAAACGTTTGGGAGTGCAAAACAAGTTGACATAGCATCAAAAATAGGACTTTCACAGTATTGGCACACCGCTACCGTGATGCTTTTTCGCCAATGATATAAGGATGGAGCGTCACAACTTTTCGTTCACATGATGTACTATTGGAACATGACACTGTGGTGACATTGAACCTGTATCATATAAGTTGTTTTTCATAAGTCCCAATTTGGTGGTCCGGTTTTTATCTCTATCATGTGATTGAGTAGTCTGACTCTTAACTGTCGGAGGGATATGCCTTCGTACAACTCCCAAGTATTTTTGTACTACGCAACACCAAAGAGTTTTCGATGACATGCTAGTCCCCTTTGACGCTATCTTTGGAGTATTGATGGTCAGCGTTGCAAAGGGTTTTGGTATTTCTACATTTTGTTTTTACAAAAATCTTATTTTGGTTGAAAAGGAGAATTAAAAGCATATTTAACGGTAGCTAACTTCATCTAGCAGTTATATGCGTTTTTAGTTTTTTATTTTTTATTCTTAAACATGTTTTTAAGTCTTTTTTTTTTAATCTAACGACTTAGTACTATGGTCTAGTGGTATTTCTCTTTACTTGTAAGTGAGAGGTCTTAGATTCGATTCTCGCCAAGGACGAATTTGAACCACATTATTATTGCTAGCACATTTGAGGTTTAGCCCACTCCCCACACCCACATTAGTGTAGATAAAACTAGCTGACATTAACATGCCTTTCAAACTTGAACCGTTGGATGTACTCTGGTGTTTGACCTTATTATGAGAATTAGCCCACTCCCCCCCCCCCACCCCCATTAGTGTAGATAATATCGTTTGTTAAAAAAAAAAAAAATCTAACGACTAGCTGACATTAGCCTACCTTTCAAACTTGAATCGTTTGATGTACTCCGGTGCCTGGCCTTGTGAACAAAAAGATGCGGGTGCATACTAGGCCCATGAACAGTTTGGCTCGTTCTTATTTTGAGGGCCAAATATGGCAAGCCTAGTACTAGTAGCAGATCCAAGATTTGAACCTTTGAGGGTGCGTTTGTTGCACCAGACTATTTCGGACTGGACTAGCTTTAGGAACTAAGCTGGACTAGCTTGGCTTGGACTAAGTAGGATAAAATTAGTGAAGTGTTTGGTGCAGTATTGGACTATTAGGGACATTGTATGGCCCCGTTTGTTTGGCTTCACTAAACTTCCTTGGACTAGACTGGACTGTAATCCGGTGTTTGTTTCACGCGAGGACTACGTTTAATGAAACTCGCTTAGACTGAGTCCAACTAACAGCTTCGCTACAGGGTCTTAGCGAGACCCCCCCCCCCCCCGAAATTGGGCGGACTACTAAGACCACTCTACGCTTCACTCATACCCGCTTCGTCCTCCCATCTACCTCTTCCTCGCGTCCCACAACCCATTTCAAACCTAGATCTTGCAAAATCCGAAACAAAAAAGCAACAAAATTTCCTAAGGTTCCCTTTTTAAAACCAGATCCAACTCTCAAAATTCGAATCCAAATAACCCAAAAAACCAAAAAAAAAAAAAATTGCAGTGGGATGAGCTTGAAAATTTCACCCAGAAAACCCAAACCAGATCCAACCCTCATCTTCTGCCTTCGAGCCAATCACACATGCACCTCGCCTCCGTCAATCTCTTTCTTGCTATGTGTTTTGATTTTAAGATTTGCAACTGATTTTGTGAGCAGAAGTGAAGAGGCAGGAGGCGGAGAGGAATGAAGAAGCATAGAGGATTTGCTTTGGAAATATCGATTTGTTCTTCAAAAAATAAAGGTTGTTCTTCTAAAATAAAAGTAAAGGCAGCAAATGAAACATTAATTAGGTTTTTAAGAGTTAAATAACTACAAATAATATTTTAATATTTGTTGTTTTTATACGCAAAAGTAAATAAATAATAATAAAAAATAATTAGTATGTAGTTTAGTCCTAGACTACACCAAACACTTCACTATTCTTATCCAGTTTAGTCTAGCGCAAGACAGTTCAGCTTAATCCTTGATGCTAGTTCAGTTCGAGATAGTCCGGTGCAACAAACGCACCATATATGTCCTAAACTAAAATATTTTTTTTTTACTAAAAAAACTAATTTAAATTTTATTTTATATTTTTACTTCTCAATCCATCTGTCGCACTCACTCAACAAAATGCCATATGAACACCGGAACTTCACAAACACAATCCATTCAATCGATTGTTCAAATTGATAGTCTGAAAAAAAATGCATTGTTTCAATTGCTTAACCTCCAAGGACAACATTTCTCTGTAAATCGACCAGCCCGAAACTCATCAAGTTTACGAGGAAGCCACTGCTGCAGTTCTTCATATGTCACCGAGTGTTCTACTGAACGTTCATCATCTTACAGATTCGATTCTACTCAACATAGAGGACAAAATAACTCAATTTCGATTCAACTCAAGTAAACGTTAAAAAGTATTAAGACCCAACCAATTCCAAAAATAATGGTGAAAACTTTAAGCAAATAATCAACAATCACATTGGAAATATAGAGACATGTTGCAGAACAATTAGTGAGGAATATCAACATTTCTTCCACAAGTAGATTAGAATGTCAGCTAATTGCAGAACAATCAGTGAGGAATACCAAGCAACCTGATAGAAACCATTTAGAACAGCCATCCATAAACAAATCTTGCAGAAAAATAAATTAGAATAATTGAAAAGGAAAATCATAAAATAAATTCTCAAATGTCAATACCCATTTCAGATCAAACACCTTGTATTTTTCAAATGGAACAGAGACAATTAGGTTGCCACACACCACCACCACCACAAGTGAAAAGAATCTTCCCACTCATATTTCCAATGGAACAGAGACAACTTGACTACACAAATTCAAATCTCCAATCTTGAAACTGAAAACCTTCTTATTGCGTCATTGCATCTAAGCTTTATTATACAACATGCTTTCAAGTGTTGGCATTAGTAAAAATCCTTCAAACACTCATTGCAGCATCAAAATGCATAAATTCACACACGCTTATGCTTCAAAGATTCATATCAGCATCGTATCAGGAAAAAAAACCCTTCAAAGATTCATATCAAATCAAAGAAACGAATGACAAGATGAAAATTCCCCAAATTTGAAGGAAATTCACACATTGAACACGAAAACACGGAACGGAAGATATCCCTAAAACCCAACCACAATTAGAGTTGTAAATTTCAAATCAAGCAAAATCGAAATTACGCAAATTAAGATGGCAATCCAATCCACTAACCCATCAACTAAACATTTAAGAAATCAAACATCACAGAGAAATCAAAACAAAATTAAACCCTTCAAAGTCAGATCAACGAAAAACACAAACGAGAAAAAAAAGTGAAGAAATTGAGCTGACCTCTGAAATTCCCATTTGAATCCTCATCAGCTCACCCACCGTCATAGCCCCTTTAGGCTTCCCAGGACCCAGACCTGACCGACCCACTCTTCTTGGAGCTGGAGCCCGGCGATTTGAACCCCTACCTTCTTCATCTTGTGGGCAGCCGTGGAAGCAGACGAGCGCAGTCTGCAGCGTGGGCTAACGGAGTCGGCGAATCATCGGCGGTGGGTGTGAATGTCAAGTCGTCGAGAATCATACATTTCCATCGATGGATGTGCGGCAGGCGGCGATGAAGATCTCGTAGGTGGTAAATCGGAAGTTGGAGTCGTCGAGCTTCTCTTTTCGAAAGAATCAGACCCCTTTCCAACGGTTACTGGAATTGACCTTTCGCTTGGCGAAGCGAAGAAGATGAGTCTTAGCAATCCTGATGTTTCCCACGTCTAAATTTGTTTTGAATTTTTTATATAGAGAATAAGGTAAAAAGAGTTTGAAAAGAGGGGATGAAAAGAAATGATAATAGGAGAAAGAGAGAATCCTATTCTTTCGCTAAGATCATCTATATGGCTGTTAGTCGAGGCGAGTCCACCCTAGTACCATTAAAAGTAGTTCCCATGTAAAACAAACATGGGATTACGCAAGAGATTAATCCAGTCCAATCCAAAGAGACTTAGTGAAGGTAAATAAACGGGCTTGAGAGTCCTATTGTTAAATACAAGTATTTTTTTTTAGATAGGAATAGAGTGCGAAGCGCAAAACAAAAAAAATTCAGTTTATTCACTTGGTGGACTTGTTGTGCATATGTCAACAAATATTGACATATGCTGAAACAATTTGATTAGTTTATTCACGAGCAAAAAAAAAAAATCAGTTTATTCACTTGGTGGACTTGTTGTGCACATGTCAATGAATATTAGCATATGCTGAAATAAATTTGATTAGTTTATTCACACGCAAAAAAAAAAATAATCAATTTATTCACTTGGTGGACTTGTTGTGCACATGTCAACAAATATTGACATATGTTGAAACAATTTGATCAGTTTATTCACTTGGTGGACTTGTTAAGATATACCTAGTACGTATTGCATTGCACATTTAATGGGCACGAAAGGAATCTATACCGACGTTCAACGGGTCCTCAAAAGGACCGAAATGCGTATGTTTTCTGGACTCCGGTGGTGTTGGGACCACTTTGGTCCCTAGTTCCATCCGCCCTGCTAGTAGGATTTGCCTACTAAATTGATTTGTTTTTTATAATTCCATGTAACCCTCCTTTGAAAGATGAAATTGACAGCAAAAGGGGCTAAATTGGGCTATGTAGCCCACCATTGGAGATGGCATAATTATGGGATTAAAATGAGAATTCTGATTTAAATGTTCATCAAATTTGTTTACTATTTAAATGGGATTAAAATGAGAATTTTGATTTAAATGTTACTCAGTACTACGATCTGGTGGTATTCCTTTTCATTTAGAAGTGAGAGATCTTAGGTTCGAATCTCAACAAATTCGATATCAAATTAGGTTGCCTATTATGTG